ACATAGATATTAAGTACGTAGTCTTATTGTATACCACTGCGTAGGTTCTAATTTAATAAAGCAAAACATGACTTAAATAGATAATGATGGGTCGTTCATTAGCCAATTATAAATTTTATAACCTATTGTTAACAGAAGTTATCCTCATTAAGTGCTTAATACATTTTTAATATATGTATTATATTAAATAGTATATTGTTGCTTTATATACACATACTGTACCTACATAACAAGATAATAAATATTTGAAATCAACTAACAAATTTGATTTAAAATTTGGCAACACACAAGCTTCTCCTCTCGTGTTGCCAGTTTGTGTGTTCATGGGCGACAGTAGCCGCTTTCCATCATGTGTAGCCTTTCAAACTACGCAACAGATTTCAATGCAGTTTTCATCAATATATAGAGTGATTAAAGAGGAAGAATTATATATATAGCTTAATATTGTTTTGTGTGCATTTGTTGAAATATGACGACAATTGTTCAAGATGGCGAAAAAAATAAAGTCGACTGAGAGTTATTAAAAATTGAAAATGCTGAAATATAACAAAATAACTTACGATAGAATTTTTCTTCTTTATTAGAATTACAAAACAGTCAGTGATGGCATTACAATACCATCAATAATATAGATATTTCTTTGATAGCTTCCTATAAACATTTTAATGTTTAAAAATCAATATACAAATTATGTTTAATTTTGTAAAGCTCTACTCGATCGTACTGTCTGCTCGTTTGCCTTCCTAACAATAAAAAAAAAAAATAACTAGTTTTTTCTCGCTACTTCGTGTTTGTGGATTATAGAAGTAGGAAAATAAATGAAATAAAACTATTTCTATAGATTAAATCGTATCAAGCTAATACATTTGTTAGACCTTCAGGAATACAATAGTGATAACTGCATCCAATATGATAGTGGTTATTGAGTGTTGGCAGAACAAAAATAGATAAATGGACAAAATTTCTAAGAATTATCGTTTCTATTGCTGCTATGTTATTAAGACCCCATACATTATTTTTTCTTAAATATCTTCCATGTAAACAATGTCTATACATTGTTTAATTATATTTTTATTATATAATAGAGATAATTAAGATTAGTTGTGATGCCCTATCAAATTGAATTAAATAGGATTCTAATAATAGCTCAAAAATTTAAACCTGTTGCGACATTTAGAAGTTACAATAAAATAAAGAAACTCACACATACATGAACCTTGACAACATTACACTTCTTTTTTGTGTAATTGTGTAAAAAAAACAGAATTGACAGTTCCATTTTTTATGAAATCGGTTAAAAGCTTAATAAAGCTTCCAGCTTCCAACGACATGCAACAGTAATTGGCAACCGGTTTCATGAAACATTCATGTTGCTAATGATTGAGTCGTTCCCGTTCCTTGTCACAATTTATAATTTCAAAATGGCCGTCAACTGTCGATTTATTCTCTCGGCAATTAGGTTAAATGTATCATCAACATATTTTAACATTAATTTGGTTTATTGTCTAGTCGATAGTGTACCTGATAGTGTTGCCAACTACTTGTATCCGATTGGGACTACAAATAATTTAACAATCGATCGTGACATCGATAATACCGTGTAATCGTTAATAATTGACAAAGATAGTTTGTCCATTCATCCGGCTTTTGTACCACATTTTTTTTGTAAAAGAAGTCAATAAAAAATAAATACTATGAATTGATCAATGTAATACATAGCATTAATAGTAAGTACTGAAACACTACTATTGTTAAATATCCGATTATATGCCATTTAATCGATACTTTTTAACTTGCTACTGATACAATCGATAGTATAGATTCTGTCGATATGCCAATCAATATTTAGATTATTCTAGGTGAACATTATCGAATAATTAATAAATTGCCAATATTTGATACTGATTCATAACAATCTTGTTTCTTACCGCTCTATTAGTTTGTTGCGTTATTGGTTTATAGTTAAAAATTACAAAACTGTTGTTACTTCAATTAAATGTACTAAACGGTAATAATTCCGATTGCCATGTAATTGCAATAAGTTACAAAATAAAACTAAAACTACTACAATTCTAATAGGTAGGTACTATAGCAATTTTACAACGTAAAATAACACTGATAAAGGTTTATTTTTAGTGTAATTGTTGAGAAACTGGGCATTAGAAATCGTCGTAATTGTCCGATATTTAAAAACAACGTTTATTTTTATTCGCCAAACAATAAAACGCACATGTACTTGAAATCGTGTGTATATTTACCCACGCTCGGAAATTTTACAATTGACCATGTGACCATTTTTTAATCGATTCGAATCAGAAAGTGTGAGATAAATCTTTCGATACTTCAAATCGAGATCGGAAAACTTTGAATGCAAATACCCTAGGTATTAAAAAATAAACGTTATAAATTATTATTAAATAAATATATGATTGGTATAGTCAAGATTCATCAAGAAGTAACAATGTGAACATTAAATTATATCATGATACTTATTATATATGACGTAAAGGAGTCGATTGAGAGAAAATTACTAAACAAAATATCAAATCTCAACAAAGGTTCGTCGGTGCAAATCTGTTTAGGCTTGCTTCATACAGAACTTTCTTCCTATTCTCATGAGAAATATTTTTATATCTCCCTCCTTGTCACGCTCTATATAAATGTGTTTGGTGTGTGAAAAGGACAGCGCACATGAAGACGTCACGCGGGGCGAAGGCGCGCGAGTGTTCTTGCACTTGTTTTATTTATTTCGTGCCGCCATCTTTTTTTCTTTTCTTTTCTTAAAACTACGTCTTTGTTCGGGTTCGGGGGCGAGCAATCGTCCGTGCCTGGTAAGTTGGATAATTTCTTTATTCCACCCAACCCACCCGACAATTTTCTGGAGCCACATTATTATGAGCTTGATTTGTTTAATAATTTTATTACGGAGAGCGCAATGCGCATGCGCGGTTTATTTCTTTTTCCTTTATTTTATAGGTTTGCGCTTTTAGCAATCGCTTTTCGTTATACGCTATTGTAAACGTGGGAATCTTATTGTTCCTTCATAGCTAGTGTTCCTATTTGTTGGTACAATAAAGTAAATGTAAAATAAAGTACTTCAGTGAATCATCGTCATGATGGAGCTGTGTAAAAACAGTCCTTTATTTAACCAATTGTAAAGACTATATCATATGGTTTCTCCTCTTTTTTACCTCCCGTGGAAAATTTATTATAGACTAGTATTTACCCTAACTTTGTCAGATGAGCAACCAAACATAACCTACACATCTTTTTAAGGTGCTATCTCCTACCGCAGGTTCGCTATAACCATGGCGAGTGTACCACCATCCTGAAAAGGGCCTGGTGCTCGTGATCTGAACATTGATTTTTATTTATTATATTTTTTATTGCTATAGCCATATCAGCCATTACTGTCCGCCGCTGAAAATAGGTCTCCTCCATAAAAGAGGGTTTTGTCTGTGATTGCCAAGCTCCGCAGGCATGTTGGCAGTCGTAGTTAGGCTTTAATTGAAATATTGCCCATTTAAATTCCCTAAATCGCTTCTTACGACACCCATGGGAAAGAAGAGGGTGGCCTATTCTATGCCGGGACCACATGGCTTCTATTCGATTGTATTCTTAATAATTTCTATTTCTGTCATAAATGTCTTAACCGACAACCAATGTGGTCAGCAAAAAATAAGAAGTAGGTACAAAATGATTATTCTTATGCTATGACATCTAAATTCACTGACAGCATGAGTTAAAGACAATCACACGTTGTCTGGGCGTTTATCTAGGTTTTTTTACTTCGAAACGTCCAGACGTATTACGTCACAGAATGCGACTGAACCTGCGCGCGCGCAATCCTCTTTTTATCGCCCGTGGAACCCCACTGTTAGGCCTTGAGGTTCGCACTGAGATGTCCGCGCCGATACTTCGAATGCCTTGAATAGGACACAAAAAAAAAGCACTAAAACGTCGCAGTGTGTAGCTTTTGTTGTCGCCTCGTTGCTCGGAGTTGTGTTTCTGTCATTTTGAAATGAGATTGTTCCAACTGTGTTCGAATTAAACGCATTCAAAAGTCGCCACAGAAAGTGGCAACGTCTGAATTACTCGTTAACATTTGAATACGAACTAATCAAAATTTATGCAAACTATAATTTACTAGTTTTTCCCGCGACTTCATTCGCGTAACCGAGATATGTTCACTGACTTATAAAAGTAGCCTATGTCATTCTTCATCTCATATAGTATCTACTTTTATACCAAAATTCATAGTGATCGGTTTTTTAATGGGTGATAATGGAATGGTAACCCCACCTGCGCTATCTGTATACACCGGCGGGGCACTAGTGAAACGTAATAGGTGAGGATGAAGCAGGTAAGTTAACCCATCGTGACGAATTCAACAAGAATTGTTCACGATGGTTTCCAGGGGGAATTATGTGGAGGTCAACCTGATATTGCTAGCAATGGGGCTGTAAAATTTAAAACAAATTACTTACACTCCCTTTCCCTCTCATAATGATCGGTTAACCTATTAAGGCACCAAAAGGTAAAAAGTAAACAGATACACTTTTATTTTTAAAATAGTCGATTTGAAAATAAATAAAAAATATTACGTTTATTCACATGCTATATTACTTTCAATTTTTATCAATTAATCTGCCCCATTTCCCCTTGTATTATCAGTCGTTAACTGTCCATTGCTGAACATTGGTGTTTTGTCAGTAGTTGTCACTCTTAGCAGGTAGATGGGCAACAAACAGTTCTGTCTTTAAAGATTGTGCCCCGCCAGTGTATATCGATAGCGCAGGCGGGGATACCATTCCATTTTCACCCATTAAAAGACTCTCGGCTACTAAGTCAAGACTACTATTAATAGAGACTAAACTAGAGAGATCTAGTCTAGTCTCTATTCAGTTTTTACGACGCCCACAGGAAAGAAAGGTGTGACCCCCTCTATGGCGGGATCATACGACCATATATGTATTATATTCTTGTTTTCTTGTCTTCAGGCTAGCCGCGGCGGCGGCGGCAGCGGCCGGCGCAACCACTGAGCTGAGCTACCTCGCCGCCCTCCATCCCGCATACCGCCCCGTGCCTTACGACCATCCACTTTACGGTGCTAATACTTTAAGAGGTAAGATACTATCAGTTTTAAAGCAGAGTGAAACAAAAACCGTTTGCACTGAAAATAGTGTACAAGTAGCAAAATTGAACATTTTTTCATCAATGGAACGTGTGGCGAAACCTACGACTATCAAATGCAAAATTAATGATTGCATCTCATAAAAAAACCGACTTCATTCGTGATAAAACCAGTTATTTTGATTTAAAAAATTAACTACTTGACTGATTTTGATAAAAATTCTATTTATATTTTTACAGATTTTTTCTAATCGGTTTAGACTTGACGGAGTTATACTCCGTCAAGTAATAAACATAAACATAAAAAATATACAATCGAATTAGGAACCTTCTTCTTTTTGAATTCGGTTGATTTTTTTTTTATTTGAGACTTTTATTTCATTAACCCGCGACCAGGTTAAAAAGTAGTCTATGTCTTTTTTTATGCAATTTAGAATGGCAATTAAGCTGACGGCCTACCTGATGGAAAGTGGTAACCGTCGCCTATAGACATGAACAGTACCATGGACTTAACAGAGTATACTGTTTCGCTCATGATACCCCCCATGCGTTGCCATTCCCGAGGACTCTGGTGTTATTTCTCTGTACCCAGTAAATTCACTGCCATATTTGTTTACTAATTGCCCATATTATTATAAATATAATTTTAAATAACATGAGACCACAGACAAGACAAATTTTGATGTAATTTTTTTTTCTATAATCTATTATAATTAAGACATTGTGATATATAAGACTATAATAATGGAATTTTACTATTTGTTTGTTTGGTTTGTTAGGTGTTTGTATTAAAAGTAGGTTTGCATGACATTTATGGTAAAATATGGAGGCGTCCTATCATATAATGTATCATCTGTAATACCCATATTTGAGCAAATACATTATTATTATTGTAAAATGAGTACACTACTAGCATTAAAATTGGCTTATATACTGTATTGGCTTATAGACAAAATGATCGTGTATAAAATTATTCATAAATAAATATATAATACGTTTTCCTAAATATGTCAAGCATTGACGTCTTCATAAAGTTTATTAAAATAAACGAAATAATTGACGTGTAATTAATTGACAATTAACGAAATAATATAAAATAATACAAAATAAATAGATATTCATTATTATAATATCTAAATTTTAAATATTACAGTTTTACTTTTAATTAATATTCTAAATCTTAATAATAAGGTTACAAATAAATATGGTATTTATTTGTAAACTAAAATAATTGGTAAATTTATTGTTGATATTTTCCTTATTTTGTTTTTAGTTCAATTAATTATATTTGTAAATATCCATACTACTATATATGTACAGTCATAAAATATGTCTAAATATATCCTAAATAATGTTTCAAATATGACTCAACTAATTATTATAAAATTTTGCATAGAGATAGAATGGAGATCCATTATAAGTTTGTTGCAAATTTTTCTCGATAGATTATTATCATTCCTAATTCACGAGTGGAAATATAATAAATTAAAATGTTGTTATAGAAAATAACCGACCTCAACATATATGTGTATTTTTTATTGCACTAAAACATACAGTAATAACAACAAATCAATAACAAAGTTAGTAAAGGCGAATTTATTTCTAAAAGAGATTTCTTCCTGTCAACCTAACACAGTACCATAGGAAGTAGTGAGTGGGCAGTAGTAATGCTAAACAGAAACTTACCAGAGGCAGACTTCGTACAAAAGTCGTTCGCTTGGGTACCTCTGTCCCATTAGTGTTTCAACCGTAAAGCAGTTGTATTTGCATGGCTGTGTTTCGGTTTGAAGGGTGGAATAACATCTGAGTCCTCAGGAATGGCAACGCATGGGGGGTATCATGGACGAAACAGTATACTCTGTTATGTCCATGGTACTGCTCATGTCTCTAAGCGACGGTTACCACTTTCCATCAGGTGGGCCGTCAGCTCGTTTGCCATTCTAAGTTGTATAAAAAAAAAAAAAACTAAACTAAACAACAAACAATATTTACAAAATTTGTATAAGACATAAAAGTAACGTAAAAATAATTAGGGTCAATGACATAAAGAAATTGTTTTTTTTTTATATATATTCTGTGACGCTATCTGTGAACCATACATAGGTAAAGCTGTAGATAACAGCCTATATATTAATATCTATAAGAGTATGATAAAAGACCTAGTGACTGCAAACAATGACAGTTTTGAATATGACACTTGCTATCAATGCATTTAGTGAGAAGCGGTGTACAGTCAACTGTAAAATATACTTTGTTTTACATGTTTCTGATAAGTATAACTATTGGTAGTAATATTGGTAGTAGAAAATTTATTCATTCATTCATAGAATTAATCCTCCTTACTAATTCTTACGTAGTATTATAATTGCAAAAGAGATTTTTTTGTTACATTATAGCGTCTTAAGAGCTTTTAACCAGTTTGTAACACATTGGATGATATTCAACATATGATATTCTAATTGAAAAAAAATACAAAACAAAAATAGGAGCCTTAATAAAGAAATATAACCTAAATAGACAAGATATTGGATTATTTTTAAATATACTAACAGATCCACATTTTTTTTGATGGGTGAAAATGGTATGTAAACCCCGCCTGCGCTCGTTAGCGCTATACGCTTGCGGAGCACCAGTGAAGGGTGATAGATGAGAATGAAAACAGGCCAATTAGCCCATCATGATGAATTCATCAGGAATTAACCATAATAGTTTCTAGGGAGAACTGCGAGGAGGTCGACCTGGTTGGGTATATTGCTAGCAATGGAATTATCAGTTTCCATTACTAACAATCCCTTTCACCCCAACAAATCCACATTGTGAATTGGCAAAATCTTTAATTGCTATATTTTTGTATTAATTATTCCCTCTTGTTTAGTATGTGAAATAACTAATTGAGATTAGGGTATGATGGGACTGACATATACATACACTTATAGGATAAAAGCCTCAAAATACGCCTCTAAAGCCTCAAAAGGGCTTAACTAATCACTATGAAATTTGGTATATACTATATTAGAGAGAGAAGGACATAGGATACATTTCATCCCAGTCAATTAACATATAATCAATATACATATATAGTTCTCTGGAATGGCAACGCATGGGGAGTATCATGGGCGAAACAGTATACTCTGTTATGTCTACGGTACTGCTCATGTCTATAGGCGACGGTTGCCACTTTCCATCAGGTGGGTCGTCAGCTTGTTTGCAATTCTAAGTTGCACAAAAAAAAAAATAAACAATCTAATTATAAATAAGTAAAATATCGAGCTGAGTGTACTTAACATATATGCAATGATAAAGCTTGTAACATTACACTCTCGTTGCAAATCGCACACTCAAATGCGCACAATAAAAATGCATGCAGTGTTGTATTCCCAAGATATTTATGAGGTATAATAAACACGTAGGTAGACGTATATAAATATTACTAAGGGGCCGTACACACTGGTTCCCAGAACGAACTGTTTGAACATGTTCATGTTAATGACTTCAAATAATGATCAACTATATAGTGAATTGAATTGGTTTGTTTCAAGATCGTTAAATAAATAAATAAATATGTTCTTCGATCTTTGATACCCTCTTATAGTATTATAAAAATATGTATACATACGTACATATTTTTTAATAGATGTCACTGAAATGGTATCCCCCCCCCCCTCCGCCTGCGTTAACGGTACGTTGGTAGGGATAGGTGAGGATGAAAACAGATCAGTTGACCTATCATGACAAATTCATTATGAGTAAAGCACGTTGGTTTGTAGGGTACGTGCAGGTACATGACAGAGTATATTGCTAGCAATTGGGCCGCCAGTCCCTGTTAATGATAATTCCTTCTTCGCCCATAATAGCATGTCCGTCACGCTTGTCCCCCATTGGTTTATAGATTTTATCATTTCCACGTTTTTCGTCAATTGCCGTTGCGGTGAATACAATTGGAATAAGTGCAGGATGATTGATTTTCCAAAAAAAATCCAAATCGGTTTACAAATGACAGAGTTATGAGGTAACAAACGTAAAGAAATATAACCGAACTAAGAGCCTCTTCTTTTTTTTCGAAGTTGGTTAGAAACAAATTATAATCTGTAAATTACGTAGCGCACGAATACATAATGTACTTACTGTACTTATGCAATTGTATCGTTGTGTTTGTAAATTGTCCTGCTTAGACGACGTGCTGAAGAAGGGCCAAATTAAAAGTACCCGTAATCGGCGAGCGTGTATGAAAAGATTGATGAATGTGGAAGAAGCGAAAGAGGTTTGTTTGAATCGAAGCATTTGGCGTTCCATTGTTTCTGCCTACCCTAATCAGAGACAGGCGTGACGGATATGTATGTATGTATAATACAAATAAAGTATACTCATTCATTCATTCATTCATAATTAGTTGTATTAGGACAAAAGTATCCTATTCGTTAATCCAAAGTATAATCTATACCTATATTTACTAAAATTTATTCAATTTCTTTCAGCCATTTATGTGTCATTGAGTAATAAAGATTATAAATATCGACTAACTTTCATATTTATGATATCAGTCCTCCATTTTGAGGTCGTTTGAAAAGACTTTGTCCCTAAACTACATACGAGTACATACATATCTGTCATGCCTGTCTCCTTAAACGAAGTAGACAAAAATGCGTTATTATATTTTTAAAACTTTTTAATTCAATTAAACTCATACATTTTAGTGCATTTGATAAATCTTTATTCAAATACAAGAAAAATCGACACCACGTTAGTCATAAAGCCCGCAACCACGAGCCGTACACTATCGGCGCAATTTATCTATACACTGAGGTGTTAATTAGGATTTGAACTCACGACTGCTACCATTCCTTCTCTAAACATAAATAATTCAAAATCTACTCTATTACCAGTGTTTAAAACACAAAATTGTTCGGATTCACATATGATGAGAGATAAGTTAGAGTGGCTATTAAGGGAAAGACAGCGTTTAAGTCACGGGTCGAAATTGGCATGCATTTT